GCCTCAAACGTGCTTTGAAAAATATTCTTTAAAAAATATAGCCTCAGATGGGCTTTGAAGACATATTCTTTCAAACACCCAGCCTCAAGCGTGCTTTGAAAAATATTCTTTAAAAAATATAGCCTCAGATGGGCTTTGGAAAAATAGTCTTTAAAAAAATATAGCCTCAGATGGGCTTTGAAAAAATAATCTTTAAAAAATTCACGCCTTAATGGGCTTTGAGAAAATAATCTTTAAAAAAATATAGCCTCAGATGGGCTTTGAAAAAATAATCTTTAAAAAATTCACGCCTTAATGGGCTTTGAGAAAATAATCTTTAAAAAATCCACGCCTTAGATGGGCTTTGAAAAAAATAATCTTTAAAAATCCACGCCTTACATGAGATCCACGCCTCAGAAAGGCTTAAAAAAATAATCTTTAAAAATCCACGCCTTACATGAGATCCACGCCTCAGAAAGGCTTAAAAAAATAATCTTTAAAAATCCACGCCTTACATGAGATCCACGCCTCAGAAAGGCTTAAAAAAATAATCTTTAAAAATCCACGCCTTACATGAGATCCACGCCTCAGAAAGGCTTAAAAAAATAATCTTTAAAAATCCACGCCTTACATGAGATCCACGCCTCAGAAAGGCTTAAAAAAATAATCTTTAAAAATCCACGCCTTACATGAGATCCACGCCTCAGAAAGGCTTAAAAAAATAATCTTTAAAAATCCACGCCTTACATGAGATCCACGCCTCAGAAAGGCTTAAAAAAATAATCTTTAAAAATCCACGCCTTACATGAGATCCACGCCTCAGAAAGGCTTAAAAAAATAATCTTTAAAAATCCACGCCTTACATGAGATCCACGCCTCAGAAAGGCTTAAAAAAATAATCTTTAAAAATCCACGCCTTACATGAGATCCACGCCTCAGAAAGGCTTAAAAAAATAATCTTTAAAAATCCACGCCTTACATGAGATCCACGCCTCAGAAAGGCTTAAAAAAATAATCTTTAAAAATCCACGCCTTACATGAGATCCACGCCTCAGAAAGGCTTAAAAAAATAATCTTTAAAAATCCACGCCTTACATGAGATCCACGCCTCAGAAAGGCCTAAAAAAATAATCTTTAAAAATCCACGCCTTACATGAGATCCACTCCTCAGAAAGGCTTAAAAAAATAATCTTTAAAAATCCACGCCTTACATGAGATCCACGCCTCAGAAAGGCTTAAAAAAATAATCTTTAAAAATCCACGCCTTACATGAGATCCACGTCTCAGAAAGGCTTTAAAAAAATATTCTTTAAAAATCCACGCCTTACATGAGATCCACGCCTCAGAAAGGCTTAAAAAATAATCTTTAAAAATCCACGCCTTACATGAGATCCACGCCTCAGAAAGGCTTAAAAAAATAATCTTTAAAAATCCACGCCTTACATGAGATCCACGCCTCAGAAAGGACATAGACCCAACAAGTTTATATTATATCCAAGAGGAGTGGTTGACCTTTAAATTGTTGTATGTGCTCGGATGTGGGAGTTACACCTAAATATTTACATGTATATCCGATTCGTATATTATTTAGTAAACCATTATCTCTCTAGAGGTTCCGCTGATCGCTTTGAAATGTTCCATGAGGTTCCAGTTATGGTCCAGAACAACGCCTATAATTTTCGGTGATGATCAGATAATAATTTTGGAATGAAGTGGACCGAAAATTTAATTTGTTATGTTATTTTCGAGTCGATCTATAGACCACAAATGAAAGCCGAACATCACAACACAACCCACGGTGAAGGGAATCTGGACAATAGCTGTACTGAATACTTGTAATATTCGGAAAATATGTCAGTGTGAGGAAGAGGTGCTGTTTACCTCTAATAGGGCAAGAGGGTGCAAATATCACGAAATATTGCCCAGGCTCGGAATAAACATTCGCAGAAAATTTGAGTTCCGTGGTAGTTGTGTAGGGTATCGTATGGTCGGCCCCGTCCGACTATACTGCTCCGCTCGCTGGTTATATGATAGTTTTTGATAGATTATCTTTTAAGCATGGTTTTAAATATATATTATTTTAATGTATATATAATTTTGAGTTCATACATCTAGAACAGATCCGTATAGATTAATTTATAACCAAAATCCACACGATAGTTCAATTTTTTAATGAATTACAGAGCTATCTTTGGATGGGGGCAAATGTACCACGATTATTGATCTACGTATAGTTTTTTGGTTATTGACCGTAGGGATAATGGTCCATGAAAAGTAGTCTTTTAAAATCCACACTTATAAAATATTCTGAAAAAAATAAAGAATCTTAAAGGTCCTAGAAAAATACTTGCATACTTAGCTGGCCTGTGACAGAACTTTCGTTCCATAAACCGAGCATAAAAAAGATTTCCAGGCGCGTCAGTCTTCCAATTTTAAAGATCATTTTCGGCAATGTTGTCTTCCACTTGATTTTCCATTTTATTCGTGGCCTTCCTCTTCTGCGTGAACCATAAGCTGGTTCACTTTTATATGCCTTCTGGGCTGGGGCATCTTTTTTGCATTCGGCCACATTTGGAGTTCTTCAATTACTTATAAATCCAAATTTCGTGCAAATGGAAGGATATATAGGGACTTTGGTGCACCATTTACATAAAATCGGACGAAAATATATATATGAGAGCTATATCTAAATCTGAACCGATTTTCACGAAATTTAACACACATCGTTCTAGGCTTAATTCAGTACGCTGTGCAAAATTTCGTGCAAGTCGAAGGATATATAGGGACTTTAGTGCACTATTTACTTAAAATCGGACGAAAATATATATGGGAGCTATATCTAAATCAGAACCGATTTTCACGAAATTTAACACACATCGTTCTAGACTTAATTCCGTACGCTGTGCCAATTTTTGTGCAAATCGAAGGATATATAAAGACTTTGGTGCACTATTTACCCAAAATCGGACGAAAATATATATGGGAGCTATATCTAAATCTGAACCGATTTTCACGAAATTTAACACACATCGTTCTAGGCTTAATTCAGTACGCTGTGCAAATTTTCGTGCAAATCGAAGGATATATAGGGACTTTGGTGCACTATTTACCTAAAATCGTACGAAAATATATATGGGAGCTATATCTAAATCTGAACCGATGTTCACGAAATTTTACACACATCGTTCTAGATTTAATTCAGTACACTATGCAAAATTTCGTGCAAATCGAAGGATATATAGGGACTTTGGTGCACTATTTACCTAAAATCGGACGAAAATATATATGGGAGCTATATCTAAATCAGAACCGATTTTCACGAAATTTTACACACCTCTTTCTAGACTTAATTCAGTACGCTATGCCAAATTTCGTGCAAATCGAAGGATATATAGGGACTTTGGTGCACTATTTACCTAAAATCGGACGAAAAGATATATATGGGAGCTATATCTAAATCTGAACCGATTTTCACGAAATTTAACACACATCGTCCTAGACTTAATTCAGTACACTATGCAAAATTTCGTGCAAATCGAAAGATATATAGGGACTTTGGTGCACTATTTACCTAAAATCGGACGAAACTTTATATGGGAGCTATATCTAAATCTGAACCGATTTTCACGAAATTTTACACACATCTTTCTAGACTTAATTCAGTACGCTATGCCAAATTTCGTGCAAATCGAAGGATATATAGGGTCTTTGGTGCACTATTTACCTAAAATCGGACGAAAATATATATGGGAGCTATATCTAAATCTGAACCGATTTTTTCCCAATTTCAATAGAGTTCGTCCTTGGGCCAAATAAGTGAACTGTGCCAAATTTCATCACAAATGCTACCTGTTAACAAAAATAAATGGACGGACGGACATGCATACATCGACTTAAAAAGTGTTCCTATGCTTATTCTCAAAAGGAACCATATGTCTATCTCGTTTCCTTTTGCCTGTTACAAACATATGCACAAAGACATAATACCCTGTACCACAGTGTGGTGAAGGGTATAAAAATACACGCTTACAGTGTTCCTTCAATAAATATTGATTATAAAATTTACCGCTTCCAATGATCCTTGCAATTTCGTTTAGAAATCCACAAAGCTTGTGTTGCAGATTAAAAACGGATTTCCAATCTACCTTCGTAGTCCGCAGTACATATCAAATCAAAATCCAGGCAAACAATGTGTTAATTTTCTATTAAATTTTTTTCGAATTCCCTTACCCCTCTCTCTCGTCCCTCCCAAAAATTATTAATAACATTATTGTGTTCAAGTTTGAAAAGGTGCAACTAATTCGAACAACACCTTTTGTAGCCACAACAAAAGGCGATGCTTAAAAAGAAAAATACATTTAATTTTAAGCTCATTGAGTTAATTGATGTTGTTGTTATTGGTGTCGTGGCAAGCAGCAGTGTAGATGAAGTGGTGTTAGTTGCATACAACAACAAATGCTGCCACTAATACGAGACACGAAATTACAAATACTCCTTTCGTTAATACCCGTCATTGTATGGCACATGGTACATGGTGGCAGGATAATGGTGGCATGGCTGATAATGACGATAATGACAAGGATGATTGTGTGTTAGTGTGTGTGTGTGTGTGTGTTTGTACGACGTGATTTTATTAAATGAGAATGAGACACTAGCTCTCTATACCGTTGAGCTGCATTTGTTAGCTGTTCACCTTTTGCAATTTTGTAACACGTTCAGCACTGCCATTTTCCACATCGTTTTTTTTTTAGATGTCTTCTGTCATATGACATGTAATGTAATTTCGTATTTTCAAGGGTATTAGTGTGGTGGGAAATGGCTGAGAGTGTGCGTGTGTGTCTATCCGTGCACATATTTGTTTGCATCTGCCCTTAAATTGGTTTTTCAAATTCAACCACGTTTCTACGTTTTTATTTTGTTAGCAAATGTATTATTTATATACGGGTTTTACTAACTCATCTTCTCTACCCCTCCCCCACCGGCTTCCCTCTGGTGGTGTTGTTTTTTTCTTTTCTTTACAGCTACATAATCACGAATTTGTCGAAGTCTGCATGAAGATCCTTTACCAAGTCGAACTGCATCGTACCACATTGGAACAAATGTGGGGCTTCTCTGTCGAGGCCGAACTTATTGAAAACGCCGAACGTCAAGATGAGCTGTGCTGTTATGTTAGTCGTGTCGAAGATAAAAGTGTTGCCATGCAAAATGGTAAGTAGAAATTTTGTTTCTTGAAGTTGTTTTTTTCCATTTTGAGATATTACAATGAAAATGGGGTTGGGAGGGTTACATAGCCGACATAACTCCAACATGTGTCAGGGATTTAAATACAATTTCAATGGTGTCTCAAAGGATATGGGTCGTATGGAGATGTAAACAAAATTGATAAATTCAAAATGTGAGATGGGTTATTGAAAATATAAAAAATAATAATTTTATTGGTAAATAAAAAAAATCTTCCAACTGGTTCTTAGTTCAGGACAATTATTTTAAACCCCCCGACAAAAAAAAACTAAATTTATAATTTTTTGAGTATTAAATAAATTCAAATATAATTTACCCTGTAATCACCCAATTTGGATAGAAAAACGTGACCAAAATATAAAAAAGGAATCTTAGGAAGTACCTTTAGATCTAGGTCTTCTTTCCAGGGTACCCCTACTCTAAAAAGTAGACAATATTGATATTTGTTGATGGGAAAAATTGGCTATCCAATGAAAAAAAAAACATGAAATTTCGCTTGAAACCCCTGTGCCAAATTCCCAAAATTCCCGATATATTTAATTTCTCATATCACGCATTCTAGAAGTAGTAGCGAAGACGTGGCTGAATCGACATTGAATATTCATCAGATCAAAAATATATACTTTTTGGGGTCTCCGGTGATTATTTTAAAATTTTACAAACGTTATGAACGAATTAAAATATCCTCCACATTATGGTGGATGACACTAACGTACACGGGATTTTAAATTGGGGGCGAAGGCCCCGCTGGTTCAATATGACATTTTCAAAGCAAAAGAAAATTTTTTTGTATGAAAAAATGTATAACTTGATGTAGGGTAAAAAAGGAGACCATTGTCGGGAAAATACCATGCTTACAGGCCTACATGTAATCTATGGACAGAAGACCATATTCAGACTATTTTGACAGAAGCCATTTCCGAATCTATAGCCAACAGGTTTATAGTTACAATCACTTTCATTAGGTCTGAAGGCATTTACAGCCTTATGTATTTTGTTGGTCTTCCATAAGCAGACCATAGTAGATCAGTAGATCGATGACCTTTCTCCAGTATTCAATTTGACAGAATACCGATTTCAGGTCCTCTATTAACAACAGGTTTTTGTAGACCAAATACCTACCGAAGAATCTTTTTTACACAGAAGGTATTACATCTGCACAGAAGATCTGAGCTATTTAAAAAAACAACAAATGATCCTCCATCCTATCTATGTATCTTCGGGAAAAATAAGGCAGGTCTTTTGTATGCCATTATTTCCCTGATATTTTTACTGTGCATACACATTACTCTTGAAAGGGGAAACCCCCTATAGCCATATGGCAATATTTCGGTCATCTATAGACAGAAACTCATACATGTGTAATGATTTCTGAAGGTATTCAGTAGATAGAAATCCTATTATGGGTCTTCTTTAGTCTCTTACCGGTCTTCCAAGGCCTGAATAATGCCTGCTTTTAGACTGAGGTTGTTATCCTAATATTTTGTTGTCCTAATACTTATCTCAGAACTTTTATAAGTATAATATATTTTGCAGGTCTTTTTTTATAACGAAGATCCTTATTCTGGTTCGAAGATCTTTCACGGATATTCCATAAACATAACACCGACTTCAGTTCTTCTAGTAGCACCAGGCCAGGTCGCCTACATACAGATGGTATTCTCCTATTTTTTACTAAAGACATTCCTAAGAACTATCATAGACAAAAGACCTCAGGTTTTTATACATACAAATAAGAATAAAGTGGGTCTTTCATTGGTTGAAGCCCCTTTGCAGGTCCTCTATAAACGGCAGGCTTTTGTAGGCCACATATTCATATCCTGGCGTATTGCAGGCCTATCGAAGAATCGTTTTTGGATATATTACACAGACTATTTTTAAGGTATTCCCTATGCACAGAAGAGCTCAAGTATCCTCCAAAATAGACAGTTTTGTAGGTTTTCCATAGATATTCGGGAAAAATAAGGAAGGTCTTTTGTATGTCATTATTCTCCTGACACGTTTACTTTATGAAAAATTATTCTTAAAGGGGAAATTCTATTTAGTCATCGGCCATCTATAGACAGAACTTCATACAGGGGTAAAGGTTTCTATGGATGCTCAGTAGATCGAAAGCCTTTTATGGTTTTCTAGATCTATATACTCTTGCGGGTCTTCCGAGGCCTGAATAAGGTTTGCTTTCAGGCAGAAGTTGATATCCTAGTATTTTGTTGTCCAAATACCTATCTCAGAACTTGTATAAGTAGAATATATTTTTTTAGGTCTTTTATATACCAAAAATCCTTTTTCTGGTTGACGGATATTTTATAGACAGAATAGCGACTCCAGTACTTCTATAAATACCAATCCAGGTCCCCTAAAGCCAGATGGTTTTATACTGTTTTTTTTTTTTTTTTTTTTTTTTTGGTTACTAAATACATTCGTCAGAATTATTATAGACAGAATATTCTCTTCGGCTACTATCGACCGAAGGCCTCAGGGTTTTATAGATAATAATCGCTGGTAGAAAAAAGTAGATCTTCTATTGACTGAAGCCTTTTGTTAAGATTTCAAAAATCCTACTTAAGATCATATTTTGTTATTTTCTTCGGAGCTTTAATAGATCGGAAAGATGGGTATTCTTTTAATTAGATAAGATTCAATAATAAAATTTCCTTTCCCGAAAATCTTTGGAAGGTCACATGCCCTTCGTGTACTTTCCTTTAGAACGAAAAGAAGCTTGAATAACATTGTCCTTTCTACAAATTCTTTGGAAGGTCACATGACCTTCATGGGATTTCCGTTTGAGCGACGACCTTCAATAATTTTATGGATAGAATATCTTTTTACAGACAAATTACCTTTTGGAGGTTGAATTATCCTCCATGGCCGAACGACATTATAAGATAAGATGCAGAAGCATTTTAATGACCGAAAACCTTCGACAGATCTTCTATTGGAAGATAACCTATTCTGTTTAGTTATAAACATAATTCCATAACTTTATATAGCCAGATAGCCTTCCAGAGGTATTTTCTGAAAAGAAGACCTTCTACAGATCATCCAGGGACAGATAACATCGGCTGATCATTTATAAAAAAAATCAATGTGGACAGAAGACCCGTTTTATGGACAGAAAACTTTCTATAGACCGTCCATGAACATATAACCTTTGGTGATTATTTATAAACAGAAGTCTATCTGGACAGAATACCTCCTACAGATCTTTTATTGACAGATAACTTCTTCTGATTATATATAAATAGGAGCCCATTTGTTGGTCTTCTATATACAACAGCACGTCTCTAGCCATAGGAAATTATAAAGATTTTCTTCTGGTGGTTTTTAGACAGAACCCATGTTTCTTGAGATTTTCTACATCTTCTGTGCTCCCAAAGAAACGAAATAGTTTTTTGCCTAAATTCTATTGTAATTGGCCAAACCCAATAAATCCTTGAGAGCTTTTGTAGACCACAGATTTTATATTGCTTCTTTGAAACTTTCATAAACAGAAACCCTTCGCCTGGCGTTATTTTAATTTGAGAAAAGGCTATAAAGATTTCCATTTCACCAATTCCAAATTGGCCTTTAGCCAAAAACCTGCAATGACCTACAAATTAAAATTAAAAATGATGTACCTTAAGCTTCTTTTAATTTATCCGAAATCCATTATGGATCTCCATAAAAAATTACAAGGTAACCATTTGAGAATGTATACTCCATAATCATATACCTTTAACATTTAATTTAATCCCATTTCAGAAAGTTACGCAAAAAAAAAATTGGCATGACTTCAAAAACTATTACGAAGAGATTTTGTGTACTTCCAGCGTATTTTTGTTTGCTGTGATTTATTGCATTTTTAAATGAAATCAAATTGCATTTAATTTAGTTCAATTAGTGGAAATGGGTAGATAGAACGGACAGTAATGCGGCTGGTAGTAGGTCACTTGGGGTAACAAATTGCCAGAGGATATTCGAATATTTGCTGATGCTGAAACCAATGATTTTAATTTTCTGCGTTTCATTGGCGTATGATTAATAATATTTAATGTAAAAGCCAACAACAGCGCCCGGCCAGTCAACCATTTTACCAACCATCCATGGCGTATGAGTATTACGCCTGCATTACACTGTGTTACGTATACGCCGCAACTTTCGCTCTGCGCAACACTTGCTGTGCATGAACAAATTATTCGGTAATGCCATCCGTGCATTCATTCATTCACTCATTTACCAGCAAATGACCTCGTCCTAGTCATTGTCCTTAAATCGATGAAATATAATTACGCAATGTGGAATCTTCATTTGTTGTTGTTTTTGTTGTTATATATTGTATTGCATTCTAGATATAGAATTGAAACGAACAAAACAATCATTTTTGTCGTACGTTCACACACTCACACATATGAAGATTAATGTGGTCCCTTTGAATATCAATACAAAAAAACACACACACATACACAGACATATTTTGTGTGTATTTATTGTATATTTTATCCATAAAATTCCCAACACTTTATTTGCATGTATTGTCTGTCCGTCCATTTGTTGGTCTGTCGGTCGGTCGGTCGATCGTTCGTTCGTTCGGTCTGCGAAATGAATTTGTAAAACAAAACATGCTATGCATGCCATCCATTGTCCTTTTTTATCTATCATTTTTGCAATGCAATCGGACAAAGGATAACTTACAAATTTACGATGTACTGCAATGGAAACGGGTGTTCCAATGTTTCAGGTTCGCTATGGTTGTTGTTGTATTTGGTCTTGTTTCCATTCATAGACTACAAGAAAGTTGGACAAGTGATATTGGGTGTGTGTGTGTATGTAGATTTATACAAAGGTATTGAGGTGTGCAAGTTACTTTTTATAGCGGGAATGTAGGAAATGTATAATATAGACTATAAGATCTTCTGAAGACCTTTTACGTGGAATTGATAGGCAAATGGCCTACCTAAGGCCTTCTGTAAACAGACAGATGTTTGGTA